GCACACGCTTGAAAGCTCACCTCTCATCTGCGCCAAAAATGCCACGCGCTAGTGCCTCGATGTCGCCAAAATTCGACAACCCAACATCGCTGAGGCCCTGAGCAGAGAACTCCGGTCCCGTTTCACAACCCGAGCCGACGGAGAAGTGAATAGCCCATGGTTCTTACTGAAAATGTCAGTCTATGGGGCAGCCGAGAAAATTCTTGGATGCACCCAGCGGCCCCACAATTGGACGGACCCTGCAGCTGTCTGCGGAGACAGCCCGAGCTAGGGGCCGTAATGATAATTCTTTCCGCCAACTAACAAAGATGACAGCAGAATCGGCCAGAGAGGACCTGAAGAAATACTGGGGTGAAATAGCAACCTCTGTGGAGCGGGCCTTGAACGCTGGTGATACTCGAAAGTTCTACCAACTTATTCGCAAGGCTAGTGGTAATCTGTCTTCGTTGAGTGACTCAGTTCGTGATGTGAATGGCGGCTTCATTGCTGGCAACGCGGCCAAGGTCGAACGCTGACGCGAGCACTTCGAACACCTTTTAAACTTTGATACGGAGCCCACCGCCCCTTGCTCCCATCTACAACAGAGCCTCCTCCATCTCTGACTTATCCAGTGTCATGAGACCCGTCTTCTGAAGCAGAAATTGCAGATGCCATAAAAAGGGTGCGCAACAATAAGGCACCTGGAGAGCACAGCATACACGCTGAAATCTACAAGTCTTGTGCCGACACCCTGGTGCCTTGGCTCCATGAGGTGATTGGACAAACACGGAGAGACGAGGCCGTTCCCGATGACTGGGGCTCAGGCATCCTTGTGCCTGCTCACAAGAACGGAAACAAGACAAAATGTGAGAACTACCGCGGCATACCGAAAATCTTCGCCATTGTTCTCCTCAGGCGGTTCAAGTCTGTGCACGACTCCAGGACGCGAGCCAACCAGGCCGGATTTCGCGCTGGGCGTGGATGTGTAGATCAGATATTCACACTGGGACGGATCCTTGAATTCCGCCATTGCTACCAACAACCAACGGCCATCTGCTTTGTTGACTTTGCCACTGCGTTCAACTCCATCCATCGTGAC